CGGTGACGCGGAAGAGCCTGGGACACCGCATGGGGGGCGGCAAGGGCCCCATCGACCACTACGTGACTGCGGTGAAGAGCGGGCGCCTGGTGGTGGAGGTAGGCGGGCGCTGCGAGTTTGAGGAGGTGAAGCCCTTCCTCACGCAGGTGGCCAGGAAGCTGCCCTTCCCCGCCGTCCCCATCAGCCGCGACGGCCTCCAGCAGATGTGGCAGGAGGAGGAGGAGAAGAGGCTCAACAACCAAAACCCCTGGACCTTCGAGCGCGTCGTCACCGCCAACATGCTGGGGATGCGCAAATACCTCAGCCCCTACGACCTGCAGCTGAAGGGACGCTACTGGGGCAAATTCTTCCTGAAACATAGGGTGTAACGAGCAGCTGGGGAGGGGGCCGCCTTAATTAAACCTTCCCACAAGAACCCGCGTTGGCCACTGTGGTTTTTGGAGGCGCAAACGCGGGGCCAGGAGCATCCCCCTCCCAACAGCACAGCATCCCGGAGGAGAGCGTGGGTGATCTCTTTATTCAGGAGGAAGGCTCCGGCACGGGTGGCTGCACATCCAAAGAGCCAGCGAGACAGAGAAGTCGCCGCAGATGAGCTCCGAGCGAGGGGAGAGGCTCCTCCTTCCACCCCAAGCAAGGCAGAGCCCTCTACGTCACCCGCACGCTGCCCCGGGGAGGAACGCGGCTCCTCCGGCCGCTCTGTGCCGCCGAGGAGGAGGCTGCTTTTTGCAGGGGCCACTGACCGTCGGCCAAATGGAGGATGAAGAGTGAGGGGGGGACCTTGGGGTGTTCACCCGGCAGTGGGAGGGAAGGGGGGAGCCGGGCAGGTGGTCTCTGTTCCTCCGGGGACACGCGGGCTGTGGCGGAGGGATGTCCTCAGGGCTCCAGGGACGAGGGCTTGGCAGGTGGGTCCCAGGGCCGGCGGTCGGGGTCTCTCTGATGGCTGGGGCCGCTGGCGGATGCGGGTGGGATCATCCGGGCGGTGGGGCAGGAGGGGGAAAGGCCACCTAGAATCATAGAATCACTTTGGTCAGAAAAGACCTTTGAGATCATCAAGTCCAACCTTTAACCTCACCCTGCCATCCCACCACTAAACCCTGTCCCTAAGCACCTCATCTCTCCTTCTTTTAAATACCTCCAGGGATG